TGCCAAAACTCTAGAGCGGGTGTGACAGTGCCTGCTAGCTTTGTCCAACAAAGTGCTTGAAGAGCTTGGAGGAAATGGGTGCGCGACGGAACATACGGGGATTAGGCCAGCCTAACGGCATGAAGACCTCAGATTGTGCAACAGTGGAAAGGGCCTTTTGAAAAATGCTCTGGATTTCCTGATTTATGATGCTGATTGCATGTAATGGGGATCCAGATCCATCGGAAATCGACCAAGGAATCTGAATCTGGTGTTACATTGACCAGCTGAGTTGACCTTACAGAGTTATTGTAAGAGAAGAATTCAGACAACATTCTAGATGAAAGCAATATGACAATGCCGCAATATTTCCTTGTGCACATCTTTTTTTACTGCCGACAAAGATTTAGAGTAGTAGCAACATTGAGATTAGACATGGGCGGATGTATGAGAGTCAGAAATTTTGGTAAAGGAATGCAGTGCAATGTGCTGAAATAGGTAAGCAATTGTTGCGGCAAAAGTGGCGATGGTTTGCATATTTCGTTTGCTCTGACTTCTTGAATGTTTATCCCACAGGGGGGCGTAATTTTTGGAGACACAGCTGCCAATCTTGCAAAGAAGAATAATCATCCAGAAGTTGCTAAATTCATCAAGAACTGGAGGAAGTCCAATTGAAGCGACTGGATACACTGGTGCAACAACTATTTTTCTGATGTTGGACATGTTGGATGCTTCTCGAGCGCATGGATGGTTTGTGTTCCTTTTGTGTTGTTTCGCACCAGGCGCCAGGCTTATACGTTGAAGGGGTGTTGTTGTTGTTGTTGTAAAAAAAAGGTGTGTTGGCAATTGTCAGTATTGGGGACGCACTTCTGGTGTTGCTGATCAAGTTTCATTTTTGTGCGAGCACTGATGGGGCATGTTGAAGGGCTCTTTTGCGCATGCGTTTCATAGCGACACCCAAATCAGATGTTGACATTTTAAGAATGCGGAAGTACATAAATTACGGCTAAACTAAGAAGGGCACAGTATATTGGAGACACAGAAACATGGGCACACCACAGAGCTTAAGCCTCCGCGAACGTTGGATTTTGACCAATGGTCAAAGTGGGTGAAAAGCCATTATCAATTGGTTGCGTTGTCCAATTTGGTAAGCTCGATGTCAGCTTGGACATCAGTGCTCAGGACAGCAGCATTCCGCAAAGAGGTACACGAGCACGTGGATTTGGCAGACCCAACTGGTGCCTCTGGCGCGCCACAATGATTCTGGCACAATCGTGTGCTCGAGGTGGCCGACGTGGATGCCTTGCAGGTGCATATCGCTAAAGCATTGCATTACAGCTGCCGCTGCTTCCAGCGTCTGCGGTTGAACGAATCCGGACCTGACCTATTGTTGAGAAACAGCGATTGCTCAATGCTCCACACCTTCTCTTCGAACATTCTTTTGCCATCTCCAGATCAGCTAGTGGCCTATCAGCTCATGAAATCTCAGCGCGACGCAGTTTTCATCGAGGTCGAAGCATCCCACGGCAGGCAGAATGTGTAGAAGGCTTCTCCAAGTGCTTAGCAGGTGGGCATCTAAGACACGTACAACGCATTACGGTATCGCTTCACCAGAAATAGGCAGGCGTGAAGATGGGCGCTCTAAATTTGCTACCAGAAGAAGGATGCCAAAGGTGCGAACGGCGTTTCAGGCACCAGAGATTTGTGCGCTTTGGCAGCAAGATCTACTCACACTACATTATTGGCGTGGGCCGCCGGCGCCGTAAGCTGTCCATATCCAAAAAAATGCGTGTAAATGTATGGATGCGATGCACAACCGTGACAAATGCCAGGGAAGTGCATTTCTTGTGACGCTGTTCGGTGGCCTTCCTGTGTCAGCATGAATGGGATAAATTGAGGGGCTTTTATCCACATTTTAGGGCGAACTCGCATTTTCTCAACGGCATGGAAGTCGATGCTCTTATGGGAGGTCAGAAATTGGAGATGATGCATCTGGAGTTGCTCGTGATGAAAGACTTGGGAGACACGTGCATGAAAGAAGTGGCGCTTGACCTTTGCACTCGGTTGCAGCATAATGCGGTCATCAAAATAAACTCTGACTGCAGGTGGCGCTCATTTGTGCACAGTAGTGAGGTATGTACGCAGATACGAGTGCAGTACGCGCTCATGCACTGGATGTCCAGCCGTGCATATACATGCATAAGATGTGCATATGCGTTAGATATTGGGAAGGTGTCCAGAGCGCAGTATGTGGTTTATGCCGATTATTAACAATATTTCAGAGCTACCATATTCCGATGACGATAGCGCTGGGTTCAACCACTGGTCAATGACTCAAATGGTCCAGGTGCATACTTGCTTGCTCGTGAAATCCAATCCGGCAAGGCGCCATGTCAGTCGGACACTTGCCACCAAAGCCGGGTAGCCTGCAATGAAAGCGTAGTGGCAGTAATCTTGTCAGGCGCGCCGGGCACATCTAGAGCCCAAATACACTGTGCCCCTGAGCCTGGCTGACCACAGGCGCCTTCCAGATGCAGACCGTGCAGGAGTTGCGATGCAACAGTTACAGTAGCGATCGCCTCTGAAAAGCGAAAGCCTGATTGGCTTTCAGCAAGAAATAAACAGATACCTTTCCACGAGTCGGTAAACGTGGTTCTGAAAAAGAGCGCCTTGCTGAAGCGAGTTCCAGACATGTCAGACGGGTTCTGTTTACCTTTCCCGGTAGAGCGCAAGTCCGAATTCCAGAAATGTGTCCGGCGTCGGGCGTGCAGGTGCCTCCCCCAACATATCTTGCGATAGGGCGGGGAAGTACCTGGACGCCGCAATGTGACGTAATACTCCAAAATCTCCCGAAAACGCACTCTACCGAAAACGTAAACAAACCCCGCCTGGCAGGTCCTCCCCGCTCAGATTCTGAATCGCAAATGCTACAATGTACCATGGCATTCAGGAGAAGGGGATCCCTATCCATGACATGCGTCTTGTATTACGTAATACAAAGTCGGGCTACTAGGAAAGGGAAGAAGGGCGCCTTCGCTGTGGGTCCGAATGGCGTTTTCCGCACTGGAGATGACGGAAATACCAGCAACAATACTCGATAAGTGCTGCCAATGCAGAAAAATGACATTGGCATTTTGCTGTCACAGCGCTGTGCTGTTGGAAAAGCGGTGCAGGGCCCAGTACTTTACTTTATTGTTCTGCGCCGATTTTGGTGCAAATTGGCGCACATGGAATGAAAATGGGATGAAAGAGTGGGGGGCATGCAGGTGGAAATGAATGGAGTGAATCGTGACTTTTGGAACAGGTACACCACAATAACGTCATTATAATGGGTGCGGGTATTGCAACAGCATCATGCGTATGGTCATCATGACAAGGGGTGATCCTTTGTTCAGCCCGTGTTGGGCTACACAACGGGATGGAGTGCGCTCACTACTCCACGAAAAGCTTGGCGTAATATGATGAATCGCTGTTGTAAAATCCCCAACCCAACCAAGAAGACTTCTAGCCCAACCTCATCACCAACCAGACCGAAAGGCCCGTTCCCACGCACCCCCCTTTTTCTTTCCGTGGCGAGAACCCACAGAAAATCAGAAACAAGGGAAAGAAAGACCAAAACAAAAGCCAAAATTAAAAAAAACGAAAAAAACACAAAAAAATAACTGTACGCAAGTACTGCACCTTAGCCTGGCCTTCACCGGGCCCCAGCCTTCGCGGGCTGCCCTGAACCCGGTGGTGCGGTGACGTTGCTTCGGAGGCACCGGGCGGATCGACTGGCGCCGGAGGGCTAGCAGGCGAAGGTACTTGTCCGTTGCCACAAGCATTGCCCTGAGCGAAACACGCAGCGTTTTTCGCGTTCGGAATCCGAAAACATGAAACACCAAAACACCACGACGGCAAAACAGCAAGACACGATGCCGAAACATCAGAGCGCGAGGCCACGGAGACACGGAGCTGCGTGGACAGAGCGCCTTTGAGCGGCGACTGAATTGGGTCGCTGCTGGAAGCGCCGGGCAGGAAAGATCATGCGGCCACAGATTGGGTTGGGGATGTGAAATTCACAGGCGACCTCCGTGTTTGGAATCCCAAAGGCAAAACACGATGCCGCGGAGACGTGAGAAGAAGAAGTGTCGGCGGGTCGCCCTCGCGTGGCGGAACAAACGGGTCGTGGTTTCAAGCGCCGGGGGCGGGAAAGCTTCATGCCGAGACAGGTTGGCTTTCGCGACTTGATATTCCGCGGCGCCCACTCCACGACGACAGATTTTAAGGCCGGGGAGGGAATACTTGGTGCGATGACAACTTGGGGATCGCAGTTTGAGATGGCGGGGCGACGTCCGCGCGCGATGACGGGTTTGAAACGCGGGGGGGGGAGTTGATGCTCGCCGTTGGTGGTTCTGTAGTCGCATGGCTTCTTCTGTGGCTCACGGGAACAGACCAACGGTGTCATCAAAAACAGAGAGCTCCGGGGGGCCCTCCCTGGCTGCTGATGTGGGCATGGGGCCCAAAGCCATGGGGGGCATGTACGAGGCTTCCGGGTTGTTGGCTTTCTTCTATGCTGCTACGACTCCATGCAGTGGTGGTTTTCTCAGTCCTCGCCAAAAGCAAAGCGGGCCTGTGCCCTGCCAGGTGGTGGGGGTGGTGGTTCGATCGTCTCGTTTGGAAGAGGAGGCCATGAACTGCTGTTTGGCAGCACCTGAGGTCCAATTGTAGTGGCCATGCCCACCACCCCTCATTTACCAGGGACGTTTGATGCTTGAGTCAGTTGCAGGGCGCCAGCCCCGCATTCCTGCCCCGCACAAGACAAAGCCTATACCCTGAACAGGGCCTCCGAGATTGCGCTTGCCTCTGGCCATTCGGGACTTGTCGATTTGAATGTGGGTTGGATTTGGGTTAGAAGATTGCGGCCCCATCGCCCAATAACAGTAGCAGGGACACTGCATTGCACTCATCGGTTCACTACCAACCTCTTGAGTCTGTGCGCCAGCGCAAAATGAAGGACACCAAGAGCTGATTGGACATTTTCAAGGACAAAATCGCAAAATGGAAGGTTCTTTCATGTCCTTTTCACACAAAGTCCACGGAGTTAATGAGGCAAATGCAAAGTCGATGCTGTTGTTGACATGCACACTAAGTGAGTGTTCCTCCCCCGCTGCTGACACTGCCAACCCGGATTGGTCAGAAAAGATGTAAACACATTCAAAACATACATGGGCCAAATTGTGCGAACATAAGTGCCAGAGGATTGCTGAGCAGCCAGAAGGACTGCTCAGACCCTTTGGACTATGCGTGGAAGTGACCAACACCAACGTGAACCACTGCCAGGAAAGTTTGAACCTGTTGTGCAAGCTGCCCACATGTCCACTGCCCACTGCTGTAAAAGCTGCCCACATGGCAGCGATGGGGACGTCATCACCATCCAAACGCTCATCAGCACTTGTAGATGATCTCCTTGACAACGGGGAAAAAGTTCATGTACTGCTGCATGTGAAACATGTTGGAAAATGTGCAGTGGTATCGCTATCAGCAGCTGGGGCCGATCTTCGTCGCGCACCTCTGACAAGGTAAGCACTCCGAAAGCAGCCAAGGACATGAGAAGAATGCTGCCTCCTAAACTGGCCAGATGAATGCACTGTGATTCCAAAAGACACAGCCCTGGCAGCCTATTGTGCCCAAGCACAATTAGCATCTGGAAGCAGTGTGGTGGGCCACATTAACATGCAGATAAACTGCATATCTCCCAGGGACTCCATGAGCTCTTGTGCAGCTAATAACACAAAACAAAAGGAATCTGCCAGACAGAGACAACTTGGATGCTTAACACTTATTGGTAATTCTGGTACAATGCCCTGTCCAGCAGAAGGATGGGTGCAAATGCCAATGATCAGAAATGCGAACAACCACTGAGAGGCAATCTCGATCTGAGTGTGCTGCCAGCCCTTCTCAGTCCAAATTGTAAACAGCAGCACCAAAACCATGCTGCAAGCAGAGCTGAAAAAAGAATCTAGAAAGAACCTCCTCTGTTGCATGAATTGTGCAGAGTTCATGCCCAATACACTTCCCTGTTGGGTGCTGGCATGCGAACCAACGCTGTCCAGATGTGCAGCACCAGAATGCCATTGCCAGTCGAGCTCCGCCCAGGCACATGGACATCCCAAATCACCTTTTAGGACAGACAGTAGTGAAATGCACAAAAAACCATGCCAGCTACAAAACGAAAAACAGAATTCGCCCATCGGCTCCAGCGCAACGGTTTCTAGTTAACACACCCATGAAATTTCCCACTTGAAGGGCGGCACGGGAACCTCTGTGGTCCATGTGTGCAATAGCAAAACCAGCTGCCATGCATAAACCTTCGCCCAGGCACTCCGCCAGCTCTTCACACCCCACTTGCAGACACCCCTGAGAAACGCCAAAACCACAGCCACAAAAGCTACAAAGCCACAAAAACATCTGAGAAAACACAACTTGCCCACCAACACCAGTGGAGCAGCCTCTGCCCATCATGCCCATGAAAATTCCCTGTCCGGCAGCAGCACCGGTGCGATCATGGTCCAGATGTACAGCAAGACCACCAGCCACTGTGAGGCGATCTTCACCCAGGCGCTCTGCCAGCCCTTGCCCAGCTCCCACTCCTCGGGCGTCTCCTCCAGGCTCCAGTTGGTGAATAGCATGGCTAGGTACATGGCTGCCAGGCTGAAGGTGACGTGGAAGAAGTCAGGGCGGTAAGGCAGGCCATCTCCTGAGTCGATGGAAAGGTCCCCGGTGCCCGTGCTTACGGTGGACACCACGACAGCTGCGAGGGCAATGACGAATCCAGTGGCCTGGAGGCAGGGGAGGATGGGTCAGCTAACCAAACTTGCCATTTACGCACAGCTTGAACAATGGGTGTTACATGTGCTAAATTGGAACTGATTCGTTGTTCAAGATGTGGCAGTGATATCGGTGTAGTGGCATGCCTCATCGGCTTGGTGCACTGTCTAGTGCTGTCATGCCAAGGGCTGGCCCCAGGGCAGCTGTAAAGCATGATGCCAGACCACAGCCTACAGACAGGAGGTCATGAGCTCGCTATTCAGATGCTCGTATGATTGGAGAAGCAGAGTGCGTGGTGGTCTGGCTACTGTGGGTGTTTGCGTTGTATATACTTAGAGCTGCTTGTTCCCAGTACCGGCCTTGTGCTGTGGCCGACACTATGACTGCCACAAGGTGTACAGTATTGTACAGTACAGTATTTTGTATAGTACAGCATTGATACACTGCTGTGGCCAACACTATGACTGCCACAAGGAAGGTGTACAGTGTTTTGTACAGTACAGCACTGATACACTGCTGTGGCCAACACTATGGCTGCCACAAGGAAGGTGTACAGTATTTTGTATAGTACAGCATTGATACACTGCTGTGGCTAACACTATGACTGCCACAAGGAAGGTGTACGGCACTCTGTACAGTACAGCATTGATACACCGATATGCTGTACTAACTGGTCGTGCTTGTGCCGAGTGTAGTTTGCAACTTTTGTGCTTGGCGGGGACAACATGCCTGCCTCAGGAGGAATAACGAATCCTGCAGCGTGCAAACAGAAGCAGCAAGATGTGATGCATAGATCGTGGAGAGGGTATGGGCTGTGTTGATGTACTGACGTGACCTGCATCTGGTGTGTACCTCATAGTTTGACTACCAGCATGGGCCATTTTCAGCAAACAACACGCCTGCCACCTGGTCCTGAATGCTAGGCCCAGCCAACCCAACCTGATTTGCCATTGTGCTGGCAGGTTGAAAAGTCAGAACGCAAGTTGGATGAACGATCAGACCAAAGCACTGGCCCAACTCAAGAAAGTTCAGACTTGTTGATGATCACCTACGCTCCCCCAACCACCACCACGATTGCTGTCTGATGGTCTGACCACAACAGAGGAACATGCCATGGCCAATGTCTCGTTTCTGTGCTACAGGTCACATTCCTTCCTGCAGCACACTTTAGGCAGCCCCCCAAAAAACAAGAAGGAGGGGGGTTCTCCCAGCAAGACCGCAAATACAGCACTTGAACTCATAAACGTGATGAACAGCTTTGCAGCAATCTATCTCCAACCCCAGCCTTAGTCTAGACTCTAAGCCAAGGTCGGATCAGGATATTTCCGTTGCAAAGCTGCATTTAACCTGGCATGCCAACCCAACAACCACACATCCTACAAATGATGCAGAAATTCCAACAAAAGCATTCCGAATTCCTCAGCACGGCACACAAATCCGAGCAAAACAGACAGGCTGGCAAAAGTGCCCCCTGTGCTCACCTGTATCCACTCGCCGTCCATCCCTCCCTCTGTCACACATGGGTTGCTGTCATCGGTGGGCTCACTCGCCAGCGCATTGATCAGCAGGTAGGAAGTGTAGATGAACACTGCTCCGCTCGTGAGCAGGCCTGCATTCTCGATGCGCCACGGTGAAATCGACAGGGCGGTGTAGGCAATGGCCATGATCAGAGTCCAGGTGATCCAGCCCACATTTGTGCTGCAGGTGCCCCGTGGTGCATAGAAGTGGTAGGAGAGGGCTATGATTATGAGGGAGAGGATGTAGAGGGAGGTGGAGATGGCGATGAGGCCGGCCATGCAGCCCTCCTTGCTGAGGAGGGCCTCATTGATGCGGTAGACGATGTCGATCAGAACGATGGCCTGAGGGCAGAGAAACGTTGTTGTTGCCGCTGTTGAGAAACAGAAGACTTGCCAAGTTCATAGTCAACATTCCAAGCTTGTAGAACACAATTTCTTCCGCTGTAAGATAATCTGTTGACTAAATGCTCGATGAGACAATACCTTAAACGTACTGATTAAGTCACTATTGAGATTAGGAGGAAAACTGATTGTGGTCACTTCCTGGGATTGATTAATGACACTGATGAGGTTGGCACTGCTTGAACCATTCTGCTGCCTGTATCGGCAGCACTCGGTACATATTGCACATTTGCCAGGAAGAATGTTGATTGTGCTTGCCAATATCTGACAAAAGCCACCCACAGTTCACCAGGTAAAATAGGTCAACAAGGACGATCACCCAGAAAGATGGAAAAACAATTCGATGAGCGAATCGCCAGCGTCACTGTTGTCAAAAAATGACAACCCCTCCTGTGCTGTTGACGACCAGGTCAACGACAAAAGCCATATGACAAAAAAGTGACAAATCCATCCTATCAAGTTTATAGCATTGAAAGCATCTGTCAAAACAAATCACAAATCGGCTGTAGTTTCACCTAGTGAACAACACATAACCTGACCTTGGGTGTGCGACACTGGGTGCCATTCCCTATACACAATGTTTTGCCTGATATACTGATGAGCCATTGGCGATGCAGACTTGATCTTATGCTACTACACATGGCAAGCAAGAAAACAACACCTAAGCGCAGTGAAGTGCTGGTCGTTACCATATATCAGTCCCTGATAGATGCTTTGTCCCCGATCACCGATTTGCCATTTTCCTACTATTATCAACTCCTCTCCAACAGTGAAAGGTGCTGTCCGCGCCCCTACCCCCCTGCAGCAAGACAGAGCGGCAAGTCCTTCTACTCGATGATAGCTGCGTGCATGTCCTCCCAAAATCCCACTAAAAAGGGGCAAAAGCAGCAGAGGCCCAAACCCACCTGGAAAATGAGAAAGACCCCCGAGAAGACGCGCGCAACCTCTCCATACACTCCAAAGAACTCGTTGGGTATGAAGAACGACACAAACACCAGCAGCATCCAAGCCGAGAACTTGAGTCCAAAGCACGACGTGTGCACGGCCGTCCGCGGGTCGGCCTCGCTCTTGCACCCAAACAGGGCGATCATGTGGGCAAGGTGGAAGGTGAAGGTGGCGAAGGAGATGCGCAGCACGGCGCCCTTGCCCACGCAGTCTGAATTGAGGCCCTCATCATCGTTGGGGCGGCAGGCCTCCATCTCGGGCAGTTGGTGAACGAACTCATTGCCGTAGTCGCGGAACACCCACGAGACAATGGCAGACACGACAAAGAGGCCGAGGTACATGAACTTGGCGGTGTTGAAGCTGGCTGTGTAGCCGCCCAGGCAGCAGCAGCAGCAGATGTCCATGGCAGCAGGGTTCACCCAAGGGTATTCAACTCTGCAGCCAGTCTTGGGATCAAATTCTGCAGATGCAGGACCTGCAGTGGGGCTTGGACAGAGACTGCCAAGGAGGAGAATCAGCTGCACTGCTAGGGTCTTGGACTCGGAATTTAGCTCAGGCAGTGGTTTCTGGCTCTAAGAGTCGGAGGGGGCCAAAAGTGCTCCACTCCCACAATCAGTTCCAGGACACAGCCCAATCAGTACCTGGAACCAAATCCACCCCCAGGCACAGCTAACCGGCTTCGAGGTGGGAGCCCACGGCCCGGCTCCTCGATTCAGCCAGCACCCTCCCCGGCGCCACAAACCGACGCCCACCTCACGGACTCCTCCCCCGATGCCCCCAAACGATCCCACCCTCACGAATTTTGTCTTTTTGCCTCCCTCGACGCAACGTCGATGGTCCCCCCCGGCAGCCCCTCACCCTGTCACGCCCGGTCTCCTGGGGCCTTTCCCCGCCCTTTCGGCCCCTTCAATACGCGTCGGTCTCTCTTGTTCCCCCTCGCTTGGCGCTTGGCTCGCTCTCGAGCGCGCCAGCCAGCCACAACCCCCCCCGGCCCAAGATGCGCCGCGGTCTACCTCACCACACCGGAGCCCCGCCCCGGATCAATGCACAAAGGGGCCTTGTTTTTTCCGCTGGGAAGGGAGTTTGAACGGCCTGTCCGCTCGGAAAGAGTTGGGGTAGCCTTTTCTCTCGGAAAAGGACCGTCCGGCGCCTTGAGCGCGACTTTGCGCCCCGTGAGCCGCCTGGGCCGCTCACTCCTCTCCTCAGGTCCTGATTCCTGCAAGGCACAAAACCCGCCACTCTATTCAACCGCGAGGGACGCCTCCAACACCCGCTTCAACAAAGTGGCAAGACGGCGAAGCGGCACTGTGATAAACGGCAAAATGTTTGGTGACAGTGCAGAGCGCAGTCCGATGCGAATGGGCATCCCACACACCCAACCCGCGCTTCGACAAAATGGCAAAACGGCAGAACGGCACAAAGGCGGGATGGCAAAACGGCACTTTGACAGAACGGCAAAACACTAGGAACCGATGCAAAACGCAGTCCGAAGGGAAATGGCGTTCAGACGGGGCGACCAATGCGCCAAGGCCCGCCGAGGCTCTCCAGCAGGCGGCGTCGCCACGAGAGCGCCTAAATCAGCCGCGAAATCCGTGGCCTGGCCTAAGCGAAACAGGCAACACTTGCCCTCACCCATTCAGTACCACCTTTGCAACAAGTCTCGCTCCATTCAGCCACCCGCTTCTCCATCTCTTTGCAACAAATCTCGCCGTTTCAGGGGCCTTCGCCCGATGCAGCGGCGCCCGGCAACCGCCGCCGAGGGGTGTTGTCCAAAGGGCCTCAGGCAAAGCACATGGCGACAATCGCCGAGACAAAACAGGCAACTCTCGTGCCCACCGGTGCTACCTTTGCGACAAATCTCACCCTCAAATGGCCACTCGTTTTCTGCTGCTCTTGCCACAAATCTCACCTCTTCTGTGGCTTGCCCCCGACGCAGCAACGCGCGGCAGCCGGCGCCAAACGGAGCCTGCCTGTCGCTGCGTGTGTTCCTTGGCTTGGAGCTCTTTGAGGCCGGCCGCCTTCCTAGGCTCAAGCAGCCCACCGGCTCGCGAAGTACTGCCGAGACCTTGGCGGAAGGCGGGCAGCTTTCAGGGGGTGGGGGTGGAGTAGGGCGCTGGCCCTGGGTCGAACTTGTGCGCCTTTCAAAAGGGTGCGGCGGCGAAAAGCGGTGTGAAGAACCAAGGGGGGCGGCTTCCTGGGATGGGGCCTTGAGGGGTGGGGGTTGGGAATATCTGGGGGATGCGCGGTGGAGGGGAAGGCGGACGCGAAGCTGGGGTTGGTGGTGAAAGGGCTGCCTGGGGGTTGCCGCGGCCGCTGACCGACGGCGCCCTTTGTCGGCCTTTGGGCGGCTCAATTGCGCAATGAGCCTTTGGGCTGCGGCGACCCCCTGGGTACGGGAGGCATTCACGACGGCCACGCGCGGGGAAGACAGGTCTGTCTCTCACGATCCGAACCCATCGTTACAAATGAAGCGAGTGGTATTTATAGTGCGATGGTGTGACAGTTCATGAGTTGCTGTCTCCAGAATGCCCACTCTGGCCACTTTCACGAGCTGGCCGGGTTCGTGTCCCTTTCACACACCGAATTTCTATTCCCGCCGCCCTGACTAACTATGATCCATTACCGACTAGCCCAGCAGCTACCCGCGTACACTACCCACTCCCACACTCCCTCACTCCCACACTTCCTCAGCTCCTATTCCCGCCGCCATCCCCAACTATGATCCAATCCCAAAGCCGTCCCCGTTCGTTCACTATAGCCAATTCCCCTTAACTGGCTCCCCTATCATACGTACAACCCCACTCCCCACAGCACTATCGGCGCAAGTCGCGACGTCCCCGGCGCGAGCAAAAATCGATCATCGGCCACTGCCCCCATTCCACTCGATCAGATCATAGACAGATGCTGCCATTCTTTCCATCGCTCAATGGCAAAATGCTCCCCGGCTCTGATGCACCTTCACCTCCGAACCTTCACCTTCTTGGCCGCCTTGTTGGTGGGCGACCGCTGCCCACTCCGTCATCCTTTGGAGCTGCTCCGGATCCAGCTTGACGCTTGATTCCACGCTTTCCGGCCACTGGCGCTCTGGTCTTTGGATCCGCGGTGCACAATTTGACGTGGTGTCCCGCAAAAACCTTCGTGCGTCCTTTTCCCGGCACCTTCACTCCAATCGCTCCTTTGGCGCCTACCCACTTGACAGTGGCAGGTCCAGCCCATCGTGGCGCTAGCTTGTGGGCCCTCTTCTCCACCCAATAAAGCACAGGATCTCCCGGTTGTAGGCTGGTCGTGTCTTTATGCTCCCAAGCACGTGCAACCTCCTGCCGCTGCAACACGTGTCGTTGGCGCAGCTGCTCCAACTTCGCCAATCTCGCAGCATTGTCCCTATCAATGTTCTCGCCCTCCTCTGGCAGTGATGGCGCTATGTCACACTCAGCCAGCACGTTGATTTCCATTGGCCCCCTGGGCAGAACTCCGTACAACAGTTCGGCTGGCGATGCATTGCGTCTCCGCGTGCGGCGCGTGTTGATGGCGAAAAGTGCTCCCACCAACAGATGGTCCCAACAATCTCCTTCGCACATTTTCTTAATCGCACTAATACTTCCTGATTACCCCTTTCGACCCTTCCATGAGATGGGGGGTAATATGCTGCAGACCAGCTGCGTCGAATCCCCCATTTCACGCATAAAGTCTGAAATGCACCGTGGAAATGCGCTCCGTTATCCGTATGAATTTTCTGCGGGATTCCAAACTTCAAGATGATTTCATTCACCACGAATTCCACTGTTGCAGCTGCGGTCGCGTTGGGATACGCACGGGCCATCATGTAACCCGTCATTCCGTCAATCGCTACGATTATGCAACGGTTTCCAGCTGGCGTCACCGGCATGCCCAATATCCAATCGATCTGGACCCACTCAAACGGCTGCCTCGCAGCCACCGGCACGCGATTCCGTGAAGCCTTCCGAGGCCCATATTGCGCGCAGCGCATGCACTTATCAACCCAAGCGGTGACATCACCTTTCAAAGTGGGCCACCAGAATGCCCCTTCTAGGCGCTTCATCGTCACCTCTTTCCCGTAGTGGCCCCCAAGTGCAGAATCGTGGGCTTGTCGTAGGGCCTTTGGTACTTCAGCCTCTAGAAGGCAAATCGCGTAGGTGCCACCTGCCATGCGCTTGAGCAGGCGTCCGCCTTCCACCTTAAACTCTTCCGTTGAAAACACTTCCCTCATGATGCCCTGATACCACCCAGAACTCACAAACCGCTGAATCCCGTCAGTGGGGATCGCTGCCATCTCGTCCTCCGGGTCCAAGCCCACTTTCCCTTCGCATTCTCCCATGCACAACTCAGCACATTCAGACTGGTTATCATTCGATTCAATGGACATCTCATCGTCCACTTCCCTGGCCCAGAAATGGAATTCGTCATCATCAATTTCTGCAGCATTAGGTACGATTTCCGCCGCATTTCCTGCCCTCATTCTGGACATTCCGTCAGCATTGGAATGTTTCTGCCCTTTGCGCGACTGGAACTCAATATCATATTCTGCAAGTATGCATTTCCAACGTGCACATCTCCCAGTCAGATCACGTTTCCGCAGCAGCCCCAAAATCGGGATGTGATCAGTTCTCACAACTGTGGTTCGGCCTAATATATATGGCCGAAACTTCACCACAGCCACCACCACTGCCAACGCCTCACGTTCAGTCACTGAGTATGCCCGTTCTGCACTCGTCAAAAGGCGTGAGTGATAATACACAGGGTGCTCACTGCCATCCGAAACCTGAGAAAGTACAGCCCCCACCGCATCGTTACTCGCATCGGCGTCCACAATGAAGGGGCGATTGCAGTCCGGTTTTGCCAACACCGGTGCATGGGTGAGGGCCGATTTCAGCTCCACAAAGGCCCGCTGGTGTGCATCGTCCCATGTAGGCAGCTCAGCGCCCCGTCGCTCTGGGGTCACCTTGAGCAATTCGGTCAGTGGCTTGGAGATCTGGCCGAAATTCTTGACAAAACGACGGTAGTAACCTGTCATGCCAAGAAAACTTCGCAGCTGCGTTTTTGTGACGGGGATCTCAAAATTCTCCACTTTCTCCACTTTGTCCTTTAGCACCGCCATGCCCCTCGCAGAAAGGGTGTGCCCCACGAACTCCAGCTGCTCAAACCCAATAAAGACCTTCTTGGGTTTGAGTTTCAACTTGAACTCCCGGGAGCGGTCCAGAAATGCGCGCAAATCCCGAGTGATGCTGTCCTCCCCCGTGTGTCCAATGCCCCCATCGTCCACAAACGTCCGCGTTCTTTCCAACCCACCATATGCCCTTGCTACCAGGCGGCTATAACGCGGGGGGGCATTTCGAAGCCCAAACGGCAGCACCGTCCATGCATAAATACCGAACGGTGTCAGAAAGGCTGTAAGGGGGATGGATTCCGCATCGAGTCCCACCGCATAATACCCACTAAACCCGTCTACAGTCGTGTAGAGGGGGTACCCGGACAGATCCTCCACGACTTCATCAATCCGGGGAAGGGGGAAGCGGTCAGGGACAGTCGCTTGGTTTAATGCGACGTACGTACAACAAAATCGCATGTCCCCTCCTTTTTTCGGAGGGAACGTCACCGATGACAGCCACTCACAATCTTGCTCCCACTTCACAATCAACCCTGCACTTTCCAAGGTTTCCAACTGGTTTTTCATGAATTCCAGTTCCTTCGGGGCAAATCTCCGCTGAGCACCGCAATACACAGGTGCAGCCCCCTCTTTCAGCTGAATGTGAAATGTCATGGCAGGCGTCCGTTCCAAGTCCAGGTATGAGACAGCAAAACAGTCTTTGTACTGCACCAGCAAGTCGCGCACTTCCCTCACCACCGTTGGCGATAACGTGGGGCCAAAATGGATCTCCGCCAGCCACTCATTTTCCAGGTCGTCCATGATGGTGGGGAGACCTGCCAATCGGGCGGGGGCCGTGCAGTCCTCTTCGAAAAACGCGTCGCTGTCACTTTCCAAATCAAACTGCGCCAGGAGCCCTTGAAGGACGCCGTCAGCATCACCTTCATCACTGCTGGACGTTTCTGACGTATCACTCGTCACTTCCCTCAATTCGCGCACAGCAGCGGTACTGGGCAGGACCTCCAATTGCCGGCCCCGCTGGCGCACGATCACCCTCCCTGAGCCCAGGGTATACGTAAGGGCCTTGAAGTCAGCGGTACTCGCGGTGTTAC